ATCAGCAAGACAAATAGGGCACTGAGTGGCCATTTGGACTGAAAACCTTCTGAGATGCTCCGGGAATGGCAAAAAATTACTAAGTAACTTCCAAAGGAACAGTTTAATTTTTAGGTTTTGATGTTTATTCCAAGCTTGCTGGAAAGAGAATCTGGTTGTGCCCGGGTCACACACCAAATCATAAGCAGAGGCAAGAGTAAAAACTCCATTAGAATCAGGCTTCCAGATAAGTCTTTGACTGTCATCAATCTCAACATTTTCTTCCCCTAAATCATTGACCTTGCATAAAATCTTCCAAATAGGAGAGTCTTGAAGTCTAGGTTGCATAACAGTTCTGCTATATCTATGATGCATATAATTTGCCCAAAAAGATGTACCTTCCCTTCAGGCCCACCAAGCTTTAAGCTGAAAGGCAGTTTGAATATCAGACAAAGAACGAATATTTAGTCCTCCCTCACCAGTAGGTTTAGATATTTTCTCCCAATTTGCCCAATGATACTTCTGTTTATGCTTAGTGCTTCCCCAAAAAAATTGAGCCATTAGTCTATTCAAAACATGCTGAATAGATCTAGGAATTGTAGCTGCAGCTAAATGATGAGTTGGGATAGAGGTTAAAACATGTTTGATAAGAATCAAACGACCACTCTGGTTCAAATGCCTTTTCTTCCAGGAGCTAAGTTTAGACTCAAAGTGCTCCACGAAATGATTACAATGTCTTGCCCTAGTGACACCTTGATGAATCTGGACCCCCAGATATTTGAAAGGAAGATGTGCTGCCTTCATTTTCAATGCATTTTCCATAATTATCTGCCTTGCACTGGAAACTTTTTTAGAGATGATGATACTACTCTTATCCAAATTTACCATCTGACCTGAGGCTTTCTCATATTGTTGAAGAAAAGAGGCAAGAGTTGTCAAGGATTTGATGGAGCCATTAGCAAAAACAAGGTCATCTGCAAAAGCAAGATGAGAAATAATAGGAGCTCTCCTAGCCACCTGGCAAGACCCGATTTTTTTCTTTTCAATAAGAGCATTAATGCCTCTAGAAAAACATTCTAAGATCAACATAAACAGAAAAGGAGACAAATGATCTCCTTGTTTAACTCCTCGAAGAGGTTTGAAAAATCCATGAATTTGGTCATTGACCAGAATTGAAAGATGAGTGCTTCTGAGGTTTGAAAGAATGATATGAATAAGAGACTGATGAAAGCCAATTTTAACAAGAACTTTTTCCAGAAAGCCCCAAGACACTCTATCAAAAGCCTTGGTCATATCTAACTTGATTTCTATATATTGTTGCCTCTAATCTTCTTATCTATAGCATGAATAAGCTCCTTAGCCAGCAGGATATGTTGATGAATGTCTTTTCCTTGAAGAAAACCAATCTGCTCTTGAGAAATAACTTGATTCATAATAGGCTGCAATCTAGACGTAATAATTCTAGTACAGACTTTATTCATAAAATTTGAGAGACATATAGGTCTAAACTAACTAAAATTATCTGGCACAGGGACTTTGGGGATAAGGACAATCTGAGCACAAGTCAAAGCAGTAGGCATAGGGAGACCCAAAAAAAATTCTTTAACTGCCAAACAGACCTCAGGCCCCACAATATTCCAACAAGCTCTAAAAAATTACCAGAAAATCCATCTGGCCCCGGAGAGCTATCTTTATCTAAGTACCACACAGCTTCTTTAATTTCAAGATCATCAGGAATAGTGCTCAAATGATGATTATCAAAATGAGAAACCAAATTGGGAAGATTAGAAAGCATATAGTCCATGGCTTCATTGTCAGGTAACTCTTCCTTATAAAGATCTTTGTAATAATCTACTACTGCATCACCAATTGATTTCTGATCAGAACATGTATTACCATGTTTATCTTTGATTGAGACTATCATTTGATGTCTGATTCGAGTCTTAACGTAAGTATGAAAATACTTAGTATTGGCATCCCCTTCCTTTAGCCATTTTAAATTTGCTTTTTGTCTCCAAAAAATTTCCTCTTGTTTTAGTCTCAATTTATAATGTGCCTGGGCCTGAGACCAGACTTCTCTATTGATATCTGAGGGATCAGTGTCGTACTTAATTTCTGCCTCTTTAGCTTTTGTCTCAGCCAGAACTAACTGATCAAAAACATTTCCAAAAACAGTTTTGTTCCACTCTTTTAAGTCCATCTTAAGCCTTTGTAATTTGTGATACAAACCTCTCATGTCTCCCCCTGTTTGAGTCGTATTCCAGCTTTTTTGCACAAGATCCTGGAAGCTAGAAGAAGTAAGCCACATATTCTGAAATCTGAATTGTCTTGGACCCTGAAATTGTGTTTTTTGGCAAACCAGTAGCAAAGGCGAGTGATCTAAAGAGGTTCTAACAAGATGTTGCTGAGAAATGGAGCCAAAATTTTCCAGGAAAGCATCATTTGCAATAAATCTGTCCAGTCTCCTCCATAATCTCCCCTGAGATCTCACTCATGTCCAGGTATAAGAACTCCCTGTGTGAGTAATTTGGTGTAGTTCACAATGCTCGAGGCAGTCCTTAAAATCTTGAATTTCATTAATATCAGGATTGTTTCTCCCCTGATGCTCAGCAACAGAAAAAAGGACATTAAAATCTCCCCCAACAACCCATGGAGCATTGTTATTGTCCTTCCAGTTATTAAGCCAATCCCAGAGAGATAACCTTTCATGTTTAGTATGCTTACCATAAACTGCAGAGTAGAAAAAAGACCACCCCCATTTTCTATCTACAACTTTAAAGTGCAAGACTTGATCACTAACAACAAAATCAGACAGAAAGAAATCCTCCTCTTTCCAGAAAACCCAAATCTTGTTATCAGATTTGAAAAAACCTTGGGTAAAACCAAGTTTATGCTGAAAGTATCTTGCTTTATTGACTGAAACAATAGGTTCAATAATAATGATAATAGAAAGACCCCATTGCCTAACCAAACCTTATAGTCTCCAGCAAGAGGAAGAGAGACCACAGGCATTCCATGAGAAGAGATTCATTGAAGTTTTTTGTAGGCTTCTTCAGCCTCACGCCTTGCTGCAGATCTAGTCTGAATAGATGGTAAATTAAGGGTGTAATCTTTTCTGACTCTTTTTTTCCTTGTTGTTTGTATCACAAAATCTCCAGCTTGATTGTTATCAGGATCTTTTTCCATATTTTGCTCTAAAACCTTCACATGATTGACAAAAGGCTGGAGAATATTCTGCCATTCTTCCTTGGATAATCTGGAATTATCCTCAGGTTCTCCCCCATCGGATGCATTACCATCCTCAATTAAAATAGTTTTTGCATTACCCACTCTTTTAATGGAGTCATCACAGTATTTTAACCTTTGCAGGTCAGAAGCAAAGGCAATTCCATCCATCAATGCTCTTGATTCGGTATCCAGGCAATCCACGGGCGTAATTGGATTTTCTGAAGCTTTTGGAGAGAGTTCACTATCCTTTTTGTGTGCTTCCTTGTTTTCAACAGTCTGCGTGATCACATATGCACCATTTTGTGGATCTTGTGAATCCACATCGACCACGACAATCTCTTTTGAAATACCAGAGCCTTGAGGGTCAGAGTGAGGCTTAGATGTAACTTTTTGTTTAAGCTTTGAGTCCTGTTTAGTTTGTTTATCCTGTCGCTTCTTAGGGACCCACTCCTTTTCCTTGATCACAGGTGCATTTATCTTTTCTGGGGGGTTAATCTTTTCTGGGGGATTGTTCTTACAATCAGAATGACCAAGTTTATGGCATTCAATGCAATACATAGGCAAATCTTCATAGGTAACATTTTGGACGAATCCAAAATCACCATTTTGTAACCAAACCTTTTGAGGTAATTCTTTAGTAAGATCAACCTCAACACAAACTCTCGCAACTGAGGGTCTGGTAAGGTTTGCAGTGGCAGCATCAGACTTTAATGGCTTTCCAATAAGATTAGCTATAGAGAATATCGCTCTTTTATCAAAAAAATGCATAGGAAGTCCTTCAAAAGATATCCAAACAGGTACAATGGGGGACTCAATATCACTTCGGAAGTGGGGTGTCCATTTAGAAACCATCATCAAGTAACCTTGAATGGTCCATGAACGTCTCAACCAACATCTTTGAAAATCATCTTCGGAATCAAAACGCATAACAATATGCTTAGGAGCCAGAAGACCTAGTTGGAAGGGTTGCTTAAAGCCAATAGATTCTAATGCCTTTCGAATCACATCCAATTTAGGCCTGCCCTTAACGAAAGAACCAACCAAAGCAAAATTGTGTTTTCGAGACAGAATGTTTACCTCCTCATTAGAAAATTCCAATGCTGGCATTCCCTTAAAACGAGGAGATTTGATCACAATTTCATCATCATTGCTATCACCCACAAGAACCGATGCAAAGGAACGAACCGTAGATGGATCCGGCGGCTTAGCCGCCGTAGGGTTTTTGCCGATCATCTCAGTATTCACTCACGATCTCTGCATTGCATCACAATAGCAAAGATGTTTTGGAAACATCTGTGAGTTGGAAAGATCGAGTAATGAAGCTTTTCTCTCAGAAATTTGTGAAATATTGGGAAGGCAGGAGCGCCGGGATGAAGAAGAAGCAGGAGGTCTTGGCTGTTACCTATCGCCCACCTTGAGGGCAAGGTGGATGTTTAGGGGGGAGATTTGTTAGGGCCTTACGTAGAATATTAATAAATAGAATAAGTTTGTAATAGTTGTTTTCGGTTATTAGATAATGACTATAGTTAGTAGAGCTGTAGGTCTACAAATAGAATAAAGCGGGTAAGAAGCAGTAGGCTGTTTTAGACATTAGTCTATACTGGGAAGATGAGAACATTGACTCTATCTTTTGGGGGGCTTCGGCTCATTGTTGCCTTTACTGAATAAAGTTGCCTTTGAGAATTCTTGATTCAATTCTGTGATCCGTTAAGACTAGAATTGCTGGTTCCTAACATATACCTTCTTTACCTTCAATATTCTATTTTTATATTGTACCCATTTTTCTCTCTTACTTCATAGTCCACTGTGGGAGTACTCTGTATAATAATTAGCTTGTATCTAAATAAAGGACATAACATTTTAATAGATTTGTGTATTTGTTTCAGCTTCTAATGATCTATGAACTTCTTGTAAGTAAACTACCCCGAATATATTCCAATTTAATTAAATTAGTAAGACAACTAGATAAGTACAAAAACCACAAATATTTGTCCAACGTTTCTGCTGACAATCAAACTTTTAATGAAGAGCTGCATGCCGGTGTACTGCACCTAAACTGTTGGTTGTTTGCCAATCCACAAAATAAAGTGCCAGGTGGCAAGTCAAACTCAGTCAACAGGCTGTGCTCACTGTTCCACACTCTAAGGTACACTTGTTGTCCTAGATATTTCCTTGGCCAAATTGCTGACCTTAAGTTCCACATTCCCTTATTGTCCAAAGACACCAATATGGCTGTCCAAGAGTATGGATACACCTGCAATTAAATATAAAATTCTGTCTAAATTTCCCATGTTTTGATTCTAAAACAATTATTAACCACCATTGTCTTTTGATTACATTAGTTACTTTTGGTACAATACTTAGATTTTCACAGTTACTACGTACTAATTAACATATGAATTTGATAATTACTTCGTAATATATCTAGTAAAATCACAAAAGGATGATTTCTAGAAAAAATGAAAAATGAACACTGAATGTCAGATACATAAGAGGCATTATATTAGAGTAATGAACAATTGAATTGCAAGTAGCAACCGTGGACTTTCACTTATATAAGTTAAAAGTACGTAGTAATTTTAGAACTCTAATCTAACAATAGCAATTCATATATGGTTACGTTGTTGGATAATTGTGGCTAACCCAACAACAATATGCAAGACCCAATAACTAAGCCTACTTTTATTTTTAATAAAATTAAACTTAGTAAATGTTTCCCGGGCTCACTGATCAGTGGTTTGCAAAAAAAACCAAGAAAAAGTCTAGGGAAAACTCCCGAAATAGGAGTAAATAAGTTTGAAAATTCCAAAATATGACTGTCATGTTTTTATTCTCAAAATAAGAGTAATTACTACTAAGTTTGGAAAATACTGCCATCTTTAAAGCATGGTACTGCCAAAACATGATAGTAATTAGTCTTATTTTGGTAATAAAAACATGGCAGTCCCATTTTGGAATATTTAAACGTTTGTAGTCCTATTTAGGGTAATTTCCCAAAAGGCTACTTAATTAATAGGATGGTGAGCCCTAACCACACTTCTATTAATTAAAAGAAGAATATGTCTTGTATGGAAGAGTCGTATCTCTTCCATTCAACAGTTACTTAAGCCTAAAATTAAAGGTTATAAAATAAGTTTCATTGATGGTTTTAAAGAACTTTCTTTTGCATATAATATTGACAAAATTAATAGTAATGGATCATTGAACTTGGATTACCCGAAGACTCATATAGTTTTCACCTATTTGAATAGCTATTCACTCGTGATCATCCATTCATTTTATGTGTTCTTATTTATATTCATGTTCTTGATTCTTGATGCCATAAAATAAATCTTGTGCTGATGACTTGACTTCAACAATGGTAAAATAAAACAAAATGTATGATAACTACGAATTGAAGTAGTTAATTAACATGAACATTGAGTAGTGAGAAGTGTTTTTACCTGCACCGTATATCTAGGTGCAGCATCAATGAGATTGTAGTTTTCCCTAAAAGAAGGATTCCATACACCATTTCCATACCTGAAATTTGAACATAGATTATATTACTCCACAATGAGTATGGCTGATTTTAGTGTTCTTTTGGTTGAGGTGAACTTCACTTAAATTGATGAATAAGTAAGATTTAATATTACTTTCTCCATCTCAAACTTGTACACAAAAAGTGCTAAATATTTATCCTATTGTGTACACAAAAAATGATGGTTATTTTACTTTGATATGAACACTTTTAATCTCATTTGTTTTGGTTTAGGTGCGTCTCATTTTTTATTGTATTGATGTGAAATCAATACAATTATACCACCAATTTTGCTCCTAAAAATAATGTGAAATGAACAGAGGAGACGAGAGCATACGCGACAGGCCAAAAAGCGTGGCCATCGAGGTGATAAGACTGGAGGGTGTTCTCGGCATTCTGAAATATTATTTCCGTGAAGTCGTGAAGCTGACATCCAAAGACGCCGACGCCAAGGACGGCGGCGCTCGGCGGGGGGACATCTTGGACAGTGTTTAAGTTGAAAACTCCGGTGATGTTGAGCCAATCGGCAAGTTTTAATGGCGTCGCTGGGTCAACGTAAGACACCTTATTGACGGCGTAACGTCTTCTGCCGTCAATAACCTCTTTGGAGTTGGCTAGTACAATGGTCCTCCTCGTATGGATCCTCCCGTAATGGAACGACCCCTGTGGGTTAGGCCTTGCTCCATTTGCCGTCAAATTCCACCTGCACCAAAATTGTTTTGACTATTGGTCAAACATAATCATTTTCTTCTCCAAAACTTGGTTATTTCAAGTATTGATTTTAGGGAGAATTTGAGTTTCAACAACGTTTGGGTGATATAGGATTTTACACTTCAGTTTAAAAAAACTTTGCCTTTGCATTCCATCATATAACATTTTGTGAAGAAAAATCTCTAAATGAGGTGCAAAGTCAAAGAATTTTAAGTCAAATAAGGTACAAAATCAAAGTTTTTTGAAAATGTGATGCAAAGTCTAATATCATCCAAAAAGTAGGGTGTAAAGTCAAATTCTCCCGTAATTTTATAGTTTATACTTCATCCATCCAAAATTAATTTGCACAAAATGGTTTCTAATTTGATTGAGGAAAAAGATAATTCTTACCCCATAATTGATAAGAACCAATGTTGGTGATAAAAAGTTTATAAATTTAGACATTCAATTAAATATTCTATTAAATCACAAAAATTATATTTGAAAATAATTAATTATTACCCCCGTCTCATTTTATGTGTCCTACGTTCTTTTGACATACTCCCTCCGTCCCAATTTGATAATCTCATTTCTTTTAGGCTCAAAGATTAAGGAAGTGGTTTAAAAAGGTAAAAGTTGTGGTTGAGATTTGAGTAGAAAAAGGTGAAATGATATGAACCACATATTTCTTTCCAAAAAGGGAAATGAGACTATCAATTTGGGACGACCCAAAAAGGAAATACAGGATCATCAAATTGGGACGGAGGGAGTAATTATTAATAAAGTAGTTGAAAACGTAAAAGTTATGGTTGAGATTTAAACATAATCCAATAAGTGAAATATTGTATATCACATGATTATATCCAGAAAGAAACGAAAGTAAGATAGGTATAATGGGATAGATGAAGTATAATTTGATACTCAAATCAAGAGAATAAAATGAAAAACGAGTTCTTGCCACGACTATTGTGTTAGTGAAATTTTTAGTATTCGACTTTTAATATTTCTATTTTTAGTCTCCGATTATTATGCGAGAAACACTTTTAGTCCTAGACAATCAAGTTTTCTACATTTAGTCCCCTAAGTATTATCAAACTAACACTTTTGGTCCTCACACTATGATTTGATACAATAATCGAAGAACTAAAAATGTCACTGTTATTATAGTTGAAGGACCAAAATTCTCACTTTTATGGAAGTTGAAGAACAAAATATAGATATTTTTAAAGACGGGTACCCAAAATATCTTTCACATAATAGTTGAAGAATTAAAAGTAGAAAAATTCAAAATCGAGTACCAAAAATTTTAGTTGAAGAACCAAAAGTGACAAAAAAAAACCCTGCTCATAGACCATGTCTGAAACAATTGGAAATTACTTTAGGATGAAGTGTTTGAGCGCATATGATCTGAAAAGGTTTACCTGAGAGCCATGGCTTGCCGCATTGACCAGGGATATTGACCTGATGGAGCATGAGGCAACTGTCCTACAGCTTGGGTTGTGGATCCATCATAGTGAAGGATTGCTATAGCATTAAGAACCGGCTTCACAAAACGAGAAGATGCCACAATGTAGTAATCTTTGACATCTTCGTCTAAGGTGACTAGAAATGCCACAGATTGGCCAACATGGATGTCAAAGGAGTCGTATTGGTTTTGAACTGTGTGACCACCTTCCACTTCAACTAGAGTCAACTTGTGATCTTGGATCCTGAAGTTAATCGAGGTTGCCATGCCCACATTTGACACCCTAAACATGTATGTTTGTCCTGATTCCAAAATACACATAGTTGATTCAACAATTCATAAAAGAAATTACATTTAGGATGTTTTCTTTTGGCATGAAATTTGCTGGTCTAGTCTAATCTAGACTGGTCTGATCTGAATTGATCTGGTCTGATAAATGTCTGATAAATGTCTTGTCTCTGTGTATTTTATAACTATAGAATTCTAGCTTGACCTCCTCTGGTATGAGACTGGAAACAGTCCAAAAGAAAACGTTCTTAATTTTATCATTAAAACAATGTTAAGTAAGTTAGAATTACTATTTCCGGAGTATCTCTTGGTCGATACAAGAAAAGGTAATAGAAATTACTTCAAATAGGACTAAAACTTTGGCAAAAACTCAAAATAGGACTTGCTATGTTTTTTATTCCAAAATAGGACCATATTGGTCTTATTGAAAACATACCTATTTCTTCATTCCATTCTTACCCCTCCTTTAAATATGAGTAAAACATAGTCAAAAGTCATAATTAAATGTTTAATTCATAATAAACTTGAAAAAAATTCAAAAAAAATAAAAAAAAATCATTTTTTTAATTTTTTTTGAAAATTAATAAAAAATAGTAAAACTCCATAAAAAAATTAATAAAAAATATGGATACCTTTCCCACCGCCTGTACTACCTCCCTGCACCACCACCTCCGATTGGTGTAAAAAGTGCCATTTTTTTAAAAAAATTCCAAAAAATGTCATATTAATATTTGAGAATGCCAACACTTTCATTCTGCCAACTTGAATCCTTTTGACTTCTGCCAAAAATATGGCATTCGTAATGAATTTGACATTTTTTTCTCCTGTGACAGGAGGTGGTGGTACAGCCTCCCTGCACCACCGTCTCCGACCAATAAAAAAAGCCATATTTACTAAAAACTGCCATTTTTTTCGGAAAATTCCAAAAACGACATATTTCTCTTTGAGAATGTCAACTTGAATCATTCTGCCAACTTGAATGATTCTTACTCCTGCCAAAAATATGGCATTCATAATGAATTTGGCATTTTTTCCCAGATGACTGAGGTGGTGGTGATGAGGCAGCAAAGGCAGCGGCGTTTTTTTTTTGTATTTTTTTTTAATTTTTTTCAATTTTTTTAATTTCTTATTATTTAAAATATTTTTATTAATTTTTTTGGTATTTTTTATGATTTTTTATTATTTTTATTATTTTATTATGAATTAAAACATTCCAATAGCGATAAGAGTATATTTGTCCAATACACACATAATTAGCCCTATGGAAACATAGTTTATTTTTTGTTCTTATTTATGCAAAGTCAATGACTTTTAATCCTATTTTGATAAATAACTCAAAAGTAAATATTTAGCAAGTCCAAAAAGGCCAAGTTGGACAGAGGTGTGGGTAATGGGTAACATATCATAATCTTACTCTCCATGTTTTTAATTGCACCCAAATTTTCTGAACTGATCTAGTCAGGTTTGTTTAAGATTGATCTAGTTTGATCTAAACTGGTCTAGTTTGGTCGGGTAGCTCTTTGTTCTATGTCTATTTCACTATTGTCAAAGTCTAGTTTAGTTGGATTGAGATGGAAACCAATCTAACAAAAACATCATATATGGAAATACTTGGAAATCAAATCAAAATACAAATGATTCGATTAAGTTAAGTTAGTTTGTTGTAATGATTCAATTCGGCTTGATGCACATTTCTCATTCCCGATACCAACTATTCAATAATGAATTCCCTAACAATCAATTCAAGCTACAAACTCACCTCTAATTCCAGTAAAGGTAACATAATTTGGGCCACCTCCATTGATAATTAGTCCATCGGGAGGAGGGAAAGGGTTTCCCATATCTAGTTCTCTTTGTAGAATCTGGCGGGAGGACAAGTTCACACACATATCACATACGAAAACTATTTATTTAAAATCAATCAATGAACATAGACAAACACTGCAAGATTGATTAATGATATATAGGGGTGGACTCGATCCGTAGGTCCCGACTGAGCCGGAGTTTGCCCCGACATTGTTTGGGACCGGTTCAGGACTGGTTTTCCGGTTCTAGTCCAGGACCGCCCCTTTCTCATCAGACTTCATTACCCGGTCTCAGGTGCCATTTCTCTGATCGGGAGCGGCCGATCTCGGGCCCAGTTCGGTCTCCATAGCTCAATTTTTTTTGTTGTTTTTGCAATTTTGTCCTAAATCGGGGCCGGGATCAGACAAGTTGGTCTACTTGACCCGGTTCAGGACCTCTTTATACTGGGCCAATACCGGTTTCGGCCGGGAGCCAGGACCAGAGACCGGACCCCGGGTCCATGCATGCCTAATGATATATAGTAATGAAAATAGAACCTTATGGTCAGTGTTCCACCAGTCGTTGACCAGGAGTGTGAAATCATCAGACGGCTGGGGATAAGGAATTGGGATAACACGCCTGTGTATGATGTTTAGGGCACCAAAACCGCCGGCTGCTTTGTGCAATTGGGTAGAGAGGAAATATGTGTAAGTCCCAATTTGGTCTTTCATTTGCATGTTATATGTCCAATTTGTGTTTGGGAGAATTGGACAGTTTGTCCCTGGAACTCCATCCATCCACGAATTCTTTGTTTGTCTTAATCCATTCCTAATTACTCAAGCAAAAAAATATAAGAAATTGCTCCAAGTATGAGTAACATAACACATATACAATTCAAAACTGGACGTATTATAATTTATTCCTTTATCAAAATAATATGAATGAATGAATTTATTCTAGATATAGGGGTGTTTGTAACGGCATTTCACCCCCAAAACGCCATATTTTTCAACATAAAACGCTATGAAATGCAGCGTTTTGGTGGCAAAAACGCTGAAATACAAACATCACCAGAAAATGATGGGACTTAAACATAGTGTCGTCTTCTTCGTATCAGTTGCATAGTGACTAATTATAAGATATGGCATACTTTTCAAATATGATTCATCTTATTTTATGTTAAAATTGCCCATTCACAATTTAAATAAAAAGTAAAGATGTTTTAAATTGGAATGATTTCAATCTCAAGTCAGACCAGATAAGACTACATTTCAATAATAATGAAATACACATAGAACAAACATTGTCAGATCAAATCAGACAGTTAAGAACAGATCCGAACAAATCATATTTTAAAACTTAAGTCCAATTTTTTTTAGATCCCAAGTTTTTGGGTACTACGGAGTACATTTTTGCATAATCAACTTGCTCAGTAAATCTGGATAATATGAAGGCCTTTTATCTTTCCACCTTGGGCCAATTGAAGTATTACATACTTACTGCAACGACTCCGACTGTGGGCCACGACTCTTACTGGCCCATAGCCCTGATACATTTGTGTAGTTGGTTTGACCTTTTTTTTCTTTCTAATTTATACAAATGAGTTATGAGTAAAAGCACACAACAAATCTTACCCAAAATAAATTGAGGAGAACAATCTAACAAATTTATAGTACAACGCTATGGTAAATAATAAGTAGAATTAGTAGGCCTAAACACTGACCATGTGAATAGAATAGGCTCGTCTAGATGGTTAAACACATTAACAATAACGTTGTCATTAGTAACAACATTAATCTCTGGTCCAGGAAATTGTCCATTAATTAGGATTGCCTGGCAAGCAACAAACATTACATTCAAAATCCACCATAATCATATCATTTGTATATTATTATTCAAGCAATAATCAATTAATTAGCATATGCAGATGAAAAAAAACAATCAGGGCTAAATTAGTAAATGTACCCGCTGTTCAACACCAAGAGGAGCCATAGTTCCATACTCAACAGCCCACATGTAACTTACATCTGTGCTTTGAGCTTTCAGTGTTAAATGACCCAAACACCCCAGAATTACCAATAAATACCGCCGCATGAAATTAGCTAAGAGATGCCTCATTTTCTTGACATAATAATAGTAATGAATATCTCTAAAACTATCGAAGTTAATGAAAGTAATTATCATTTAAGAGTACACTTAGTAAGTAATTATTGAAGTTTATCGAATAACCTAACGATTATACACGATAGTATGATCGAGCTTAATTAGAGAGAAAATTTAGGAGAGTTTATATATAGAGGCTATATTGAGGGTCAGAACATGTTGGGTAGAAATAAGAAGGGCATGTTCTTACATATGTTAATAATGCCCATTTCTATAGATAGAAAATGAAAGCTGTTTTGCAGCACACATTGTGTTCATTAATTATTTAATGCCTAAATTGTGCATGCTTCTGTGATATTGACTTAGCTTTCATACGTTTACGGTTTACTTAGTTTAATTACCATACGAAGTTATGTTTAGGAGTTAATAGGGTGGACGTGACCAAACTACTCCACAACAACTTATATACGTGCATTACGGAGCTTGTTTATATTTTAACGTTCTGATCAGAAGTGTATTTCGGGATCTATGTACGGACTATGGTAGACTGAAGTCCAGCGTAATTGATTTTTTTTTTAATTTTTTAGTCTAAGTTTTTTCATTTTTCACATGTAGTCCACTACTCTACTATTTAAGCCTAATACTACGTATAATTCCTATTCAGTCTAGGCATATGAGAATCTTGGATCCACCCCGGGCAAATTTAGTACAGTAATCCTTCTAGCCATCTATTAATTCTTTTTACCAAGGTCATATTGTTGTTGGACAAGTGAATTTCTAGTTTCTAATATTAAAAAATTAAATATTTGTTACGGAGTAATACTGAATATTGTCACTGGTTAAAATTGGACCAAATTATACTGTTAGTTCTGTGTTATTTGCTACTTTTCCCACGATGTTTGGTTGAGGTGCATGATTTAAAAAACTCTCATGCTATTAGGGAATGTCTGAATACCCATTTTATATCGGGAAGTTTAGCCCGACCCATGCAGTTAAAACAATGATCTCCCATATTAAAAAAGAAAGATAGTCACTCTATGGGCCATTTACTAGAAATAAAAATTCTTGCTGACAATCTTGCTACCCACTCACCGGTGTCTTTAAATTGACTAATCTTTTCCCGTATACTCTTCTTGGTTTGGGTGACTCTCATGTTGTTGGTCTCACCTTGGACAAGATGCATAACAAGTTGCTCCATCAAGAAGAACGAGTGCTCCACTTACGGTCTCAGGAACCAACTTCCACTGGCCCTGCCCGCACGTGGGGGAGAGCAAACCCGACCCTATTCAATTGACCAGACCGGATATATCCGATTTTATTTTAGGTCGGATAACCCGTCCCGGATGACCCAAACATGATCCGATTCTTGTAGCATGGGAGTTAAGCGGGTAGGGTTACCAATTATGCTACCCGACCCGCCCGACCACCCAAATGTTTTGTGAGCTATGTAATCTCACTAATTTGTACTACCTCCGTCCCATTTTATGTGTCACCTTTGATTTTGACACAATTTTTAATAAAGTGGTTGAAAAGGTAAAAGTTGTTGTTAAGATTTGAGTACTATAAAGTGAAATGTTGTGAACCACATATTTATTTCCTAAAAGGGAAAGATGATACTTATTTTGGGACAACCCAAAAAGGAAAGTAAGATAGGTAAAATGGGACGAAGGGAGTACTTCATACTTCCTACACAAGTAATTGTATGTTTTGTAATGTTTGATCCGTAATACGATCGTATGTAATACTACGTATGTTTTTTGAACAAACTGTATTCTCAAATCTGTAAAGTTTTTGAACTATTTAAAACCCAATTCTGAAATGCAATGCCAACCACACATTTTTTTAATATTGTGCAGATTTTTTGAACAAACTAAAATCAACAAGTTTGATGAAAACGGTTAGCAACACAAGAGGGGGGTGAATTGTGTGTGTGTGGAACCGTGGCAGTTTTTCGCCCAGTTCTAGTGCGGGGTATAGGGAATTGCCAAATAGTAAAGTGCACAAGGATTTAACGAGGAAAAATCCCTTGGCTCAAAGGGATTAAAAAACCTCGACCTCCCTCGGAGGAATTTTAACAACTTCACTAAAAAGCCTTTGAATGATTACAAGGGAAACTCTCCTAGTCTACCCTTGAGCCACCCCAACTCTATCCTCTCTAGGAAGAGTTACGCTTCTCTACCTTGCGGGTAGAGAGCCTCTCAGCTTTACAACAAAGCTCTCACTCACACAAATCAATCCCGAGGAGGCTGCTCTTAGCCAATCCTCAAAACCCCATTACAATACGAAGAAGGGAAAGAAGAAACTATATCTAGAACTCCGAGTGAGCAGTTTCAGGTGCCTTGAGCTTCAGTAATTCTTTTATGAATATATCTCTCAATGTCTATCTCGGTCAAGCACACACTGCTTCTTCTTCTTGATCTCGATTATATAGGCTACCAGGAATGGATCCGTTGAGACACTTCTTTCCTTGAATGGTTGAGGAACTTGCCTTGAAATTATTCAAAATGCTTTCCTTTTATTTAAGGATCTTCTAGCTCTTAATTATGATGGTCCTTAGTCAACCATATATATATATATGGGATCAAGAGGATACGTGCATACCATGAGCAAGTCAAAAAGGTATAGAGCATATTATGTGATCAACCATTTAGTAATAATTCCACAAAGATATATATCAATACATATCAAGGGAAGTAATTTATTCACTTAAACTATGCAAGCATGCAACGGATCATATTTCAAATAATATGCAGGAGAATATTTGTTTAATAGGTATGCACAATCAACTAGTTAATCAATCAAAGATTCTTTCCATAAAATAATAAGCTATAATAATAAGTCAAGCATGAAAATATATTTTTGCTTAAAATAATATTCTTGACAAAGTATAAGCACTCATATAAGGAAAGCACATATTAATTAAATCATACACCATGTAAATCAACCGTTCACACAGAATAGAATTAAGAATAATTTTGTCTTCCGTTCCGTATGGAACTGAGAGCGGTTCTGTCCGCCGTTCCACCTGCAGAGTTAGTCATTAATAAAACTACATACTCAACATATTCTTTCCTTTGAGATCGGTCTTCTTAGATGGGCAAGATCAGGACTTGATGTACTATCTTTAATAGCTCAGATCTCCATATATATTTCGGTCCTCTTGCATGGAAATTATTAAAAAATATTTCCTTATAGGTATTAAAAGATATTCTTTTTATTTAATTGAAGGAAATCATTTTTCTTAAGGAAACATTCCTTGTGAGAGGATATGCACGAAAATCCTTTTTGAATTTTGAATAACAACAATTATTTTGGAAACTTGCTTTGTAGAAAGATCTCTTAATTAATGCCTTTGATTTAAATAACTTTCCTTTAAAGAAAAAATCCTTTCTTTGTATGATCATTGATTATTTTCTTGCTTAAAAGGTTCTCTTTAATTTAGCAAGATAGAGCCGAAATTAAATGGAGAGAAAAGATATTTTAAGCAAGCCGGATTAATCAATCTTGGATTTACGGTGCAGTTCTCAGACCAGTTCTACGGCGTGTTCCAGAGCACGACTTAAACTCTTTTCATGTAGTCACTTACAACCAAAAGTAACACTAGTCGTTTGTCATCAACAAAACAATATGTTCCAACAAATTCCCCCTTTTTGTTGATGACAAACACTTGGTGCCCTAAAGTTAGTTTCATAATGAATAAGCCCAAAGTATCGAGCATAGAACACATAGGGCACATATTCTTCCCCCTTTTGTCACCAACAAAACAATAAATAGCTTGAAAGATAAAAGATAAGAGATAAATTCAGGAAAGATAGTTCATGCCTTGATGAACCCAAGTTCCATCCATATTTGCTCATGTTCATCAAGCTTGTTCTTGAATACCCATTTGAGACCTATCTCGATCTTGTTCTTGGGTCTCGGTTCTAGATGCCACACTTTATTTCTCTCGAACTGATTTAGTTCTTCCTGCATTGCTAGAACCAGTCAGCTTCGGAGAGAGCCACTTCATGGTTCTCCGGTTCTATAAGTGATAGATAGGAATAAAAATTTCTAAGTTTAGATCTAGTAGTTACTCCCTGATTTAGGTTAATCAAGAGGTTATCCAAAGGATGTGATCGATGATGTTTCCATCCTCTAGGAGCATTTGAATAGTCTTCAATTTCATGCGAGTCGTCAGGAACTGGATCTGCCTGTTCTTCAGTTTGGTTGGCAGTGGATTGACTGGGTACATCCTCAGTTCTAAGCATGTTATCGTCAGTTCCTGTTCATATCTCCTCGTGGGCAATTGGTTTCATGATTAGTTCCCCCTTGCTAATGGAATTGGTGCAATCTCCGTGTTTAGAGCTTCTGCCCATAAATTCCTTGCTAGACCACTAGAGATTCACATAGTTCTAGTCATATCTTCCAGTGTTCAATTCTTCTCTTCTACCACCCATTGTGGTCTATCCCTCTTTCTTGGCAGAATGTATCAAAGAGCATATTGTCAAATTTGGTTCCATGACCCGAGTGGATCTTAATTAATTGCTTTCCTATTTGATGCTCAACTTTCCTTACACAAATAACAAACTCATTAAAAGTATCTTTCTTACTAGCAAGAAAGATAGTCCAAGTACATCTAGAGAAATCATCAACAATTATAAGCACATATTATTTATTAAAAATAACATTGTTACCTCCATCACAAAATTGAAAGATACTTAGCAAATTGAACTTAAACCCTTGACTAAAAAATTGTCAATTGGATGGTTAGGTGATTTTTCACATTTTCCCACGGCTTCAATTTCTCCTTTGCCGTTGTCTCCAAATGTCACCTTCCCACCACTAAATGGCCGAAGTGAGAGGAATAAAGATGAGTCTCCAGTCATGTGCTTAGAACAACCACTGTCAAGGAACCAGTGATTGTTCCCCCTCACTCGGCGCTGTTCCAGGATTAAGGGTTAGCGCGTGGAACCCAGACTTGCTTGGGTTCCATTTTGTAATTGTTTGAGGAATATCTAACATGATCATAGCATCTTTCTAAAGTCTTTTGCCGAGAGTGACATTGATACCGTAGATGACCGATTTTGCCACAATGCATGCAAACCCGGTTATCATAAGTATCAACGTATTTGGGTTTCCATTTACCGTGAAAGCCTCTAGTTCTTTTGTAAAAAGTCCGGTTAGGCGTTTGTCCATAACCGTTTTTGTGCCTCTGAACCAGTCTATCGA